AGCAGTTCCTGCTGCAAGACTTTGAGGGATACAACTTTTGAGGAATAAGTCAAGCAAACTGCAGGGAGCACTAACCGCCTTGGCCATTTCAGCATATCCACTATCAGAGGTGAGTCCAAAAATTCAGCATTCCTGTTTCACTCCTGAACTAGATGAAAACTAATTTGTACTGAACCCCATTTCCATGTGATTAAAGGTGGGATTAGTTTAATGATTTTCTGAGGGGAAGTATCAAGAGTAGCTGCCAAGAGTACCCAGTACTTAATTGATCCATTTAAATCAAAATTGTGGGTGTGAATACAAGACTGGGTCCATGAGTTTGAGAATCTTCAGATTTTCTCCAGCCCATTGCTGGAATATAAGAATAGTTTGCTTGCCTTTCCCTTCTATTACTAGTCATTATTTTAGGGATAAAATATTTAAAAATGAAATCTGAGTTTATCTTTCGCTTTTCATTTCTTCTAGATTGAAATACTCCAGAGAAAGGTTAGAGGAAATTTTTGTGAGAAAGTAAGTTAAACAACTGGTGAAAAAAATATTACAAGTCAACTAGGAGAAGTCCCTTTGCTCTGGTCTGGGTGTGCTCAAGAAAAGGAATCTAGGATCAACTAGCTCTTTTTTTTTTTACCTAAAGATGGTAGCGCCTCCATTTTTATGCATTTATTCTTTTTTTTTTCCCCTGTAAATTTTGACTGATTTTTAAACATAACTGGTAGAGAAGAAATCATTAAAAATATAAATTTGTAAACTATTTTTTGACTACAGTGTTTGAGAGTCTTGCAAGGTATCTTGTGCAGTTGAAGAAAAAGTATCTGTTTGATATTGCCTGGTTAAAAAAATGCCAACTGCTATGGATATCATAGGAAGATGCATGGTTCAACGGTTAAGGAGATAAATTAAGACCTGAAAAGGCTGGGCTACAGTGTTCTACAATCATAGGCAGCTTTGGGTAACTTCACGTGCTTTAGTCTTCTCCAACTAAAACTTCATAAGGAATGTTGTGAGGATGCACACTGAAATTGTGTGGTTCACATGTGTAATGGGAACCTAGTAAGTACTTCATGATAGAAAAATACTTTTAATCATGCAGATCCACTGATTTCAATCATTGTTATAGTCTTTGAAAAGTAAGAACACCTGTGATTGTTACAGGTTTTTTTTAAGTTTTATATAAAATATACACATCTTTTCAAGGCTGCATCTTAAAACATCACAAATATATCTTTTAATTTTTGTAACAGTCCAAATATAGCCAAAGACTCCTTATCTCCTAGAGGTCAGTAACAACACAAAAATCAGCCCACTATACTGATTACATCCATCTCGTCTTTTCCCCCCAATTCTAAGAGAGCAAGTTAAGTGTGCCAGCGTATGTAAAGGTCCACAGTTTTAAGGTATTTTGTTTTCAAGATGACCCAAAGGCTGCCTCTGAAAAACTATTCAGCTACCCAAAGAAGAAAATACCTACTTCATGTTGCTAGTGTAAAAGACTACCACAATCAGCAGTTAATGTAGAGTTTTTAAATTAACAGTCCCTAATTAACTCTAATTAAGGCGGATGGCTGCGTGGCAGGATTTCTGCAAACTCACTGTCCTCATTCACACTGATGGATTCAATAGCAAGCATGCACTGACCTTCAAGGCATTTTTCCAGGGAGCAGTTAGTTTTTCAGGTTTCTGATGAATCAATTGCTGAAGAGGAATAGGGTGATCCAAGGGTGGATAGGGTGGTCCAAGGAAACTGGATTTTATTTAAGATGCTTAGCTAATTTCTATTATGGTTATGGGCATGTCCGGTCCGTTTAATCATAGCATTTTCCTTTATCTTTCCAATAGTATCTAGTTTCATATAGCACTTTTCATCGCTAGACTTCAAAGAGACTTTACAAAGGACGTTACTATTATTTTCACGCTCATATGGCTGGGGTAACTGAAGCAAATTCAGGGATAGCAACTTTTCCAAAATCATTTAGTTAGCAATAGTAGATCTGGAAATAGAAACAGGACATCTGTCTCTGTTCATATGTTTAAGAACTCAGACTGTTCTTCTGATACGCTTTTCATGTGTTTGAGTGACACAGACTTAATTGTCCAGTAGTTCAAACAAAAAAAAAAAACCTTTCCTTCTGTTATATGTAAAAAATATAGATAATATACATTTAGAAAAAATATAAAAGCTTATATATTTTGAAACACCATTCAAGGAATTATAAATTTAATATTAAGTAGTTCAGACAAGTATTATGCTTCGTGTATGGACAGAATTACATGCTTAGAGGTCTGAGAATGTCAGTGCTTGATATGAGAACATAAATCAGTGAGGGAATAAAATTCCAACTACATATACTTGATGGGATGGTGTTTATGTTTGGTATTTCAACTAAAATAGAATATTCTTTCATTATATATTCCAGAGACTTAAAAAAAGTAATATAAAACATCCAAAAAACACATGCAAGAAGAAATATGTCTTTCCAAAGATTCTTGCTAGGTCAACAGATGAGCTGAGTGAACGCTACAGAAGCAGCAGCTTTTCATGTGCCTTTTTCTTCCCTTTTCTTTTTGTGTAGCAGAGGTGCTTAAATTCTACTGCTATATAAATGACAATTTGAGACTTTCAGAGGTATTGACAGTTATATGAGCAAAGTTGTGTGCCTATCTGCTGGTTGCCAAACAACTGTCTGCCAGGGTTTTGCTTCCAGTGACTGACCTGACAGGAAGTCCAACCACAATAAAGACAGGAGAGAGAGAAGTAAGAAAGTACAAAACGGTTCTGTCATACCCTGCCATACATGTCTCTGTATGCCTCTGCAATCATAAGTCGTTGTGAATTGCAACGCTGCGTTAGGATATCAATCAACACGTCTTTTTCACAACCTAAAAAGGAAACAAGTCTAAATCAATGAAGTGGTGTTGTTTATTTATATTTGTGGTTATTTATATTTTGTTCAAGAACATTAACCACACTTCTTGCAAACTAACAAACAAAAAAAACCCCCCAGCAGATTAATATCCCACTGGTATTTACCAACATCAATTATATTTACCATGCTTATGTACCTTTCACTTGCTGGTGTAATACCAGCAAATAGACAAGTAATCTGTATTACTATTATCAGATGTATTACCACATCTCTCAAGGGCAATGGTTTGAAAGCATCAATAAAATAGATAGTGGCTTCATCAAATTAGAATTAGACATACTAGTAGCATTTGTGGCTGAGCCTGGGAAGTCATACTTGTATGCCCTGTTGAGGTTGATTATATTATCATTTCAGAATTAGGGATCTCATTTAAGGCAATGACAATTTCCAGTCAGAGCATTTGCTGAAAAAGTGAACAATGTATTTTCAGAGGAACTGTACAAGACAAATTATTAATTAAAATTATTTCAAGAACAATTTCTGAGCCTATTTTTTGAAAGTTACCCATGATCGTGGCTGCTTATCAGAAAAAAAGAAATGAATAATATATTCTGAATTGTTTAAAATCAGTTTTGTATTTTACTGCCTTCCCAAAAGATGGCTCTTGGTAATTTCAGATAGCTAAGCTTTTCAATGACATTTCTGCAAAAACGTATCCCCAGCGTAAATCAATTGATTTTGATAGATTTGCAACAGAGAAGAACTGGACTAGAAAGTATGGGGTTCAGGTAGCATCTCAAGGCAGTAGGACAAAATATCTCATGTTTCCACCAATTATTGTTTTATACATATAAAAGAACACAATAACTGTGTATATCTCTCTCTCTCGTATATACAACTATATATATGTGTGTGTGTATATTTGTTATAGATATCTTTTATACCTCTTAAAGATTATGCAGATTTTATTATGTGTCTTTAACTTACAGGTTCCATTTTGACACAAATTTAATTGTAGAAAAAGAGAATTATGATCTCTATTATTTAATTAGCAGAGGCTGATGAAGGTAACTAAACGTCTGCTACAAAATTATCAATAATTCCAAAGAGAATTTCATCAATCAGTTATGCAGTAAATTATCTTTTTTCCATGTTGACAGACAAAGTCTTTTATTTGCTGATTACGCAGCAGGAGCAGGTTTAGCTCTCTTTCTTCTGGATGATGTAGCTACCGTTATACCAGCTTTTCAGCTCTGCTCTGGTTTCATATCAATTTGATTCATTTCCATCAAACTCACAAAACTGGTATATTACTGAAACTCTGTGTATAAGGATTTCTTTTTACTTTTCAGAAAATAATTATTGCTAGGAATCTGTAGAGCTTATATCGTCTATACGGTAAAAACTAAGGAGGATTCAGGACATTATTTAAACACCTAAATAACTTCTTTAATTTCTCTAATACCATTGGAATCAGTGGGATAACTCATGTGACTGAATCTCATCACAAGGATAAGTGTTGTGTGCAAAATTTGTCAGGGGAGGAGGTGTGCCAGTGTTTGTAAATACTATGGAGACTTACACTCCTCTGAAACTGAACTTTGTATTTTGCAGATTGTCCTGAAACTAAAACTTTGTTCTATGTACTTTCATTAGTAATGAAAAGTAAGTTTAACGCACTTGTATTTGCAGCATTAAATGAAGAGAATTAGCTCTGTGCTGTCATCTTAGAAACATCACATTAAAGGTACTGTTTGAAGTCTAGCAAAATGTTTAAGTAGAACTTTTTTTATTTTTAGCCAACTTAATCAAAAAAAGGTATTTCAGACTGTTCTTGATTAATAATACCCTTCATGGAGTTTCATTTGACATTAAGTCTGAATCCTCACAGGTTTCCATTAAAGAAACTGAATGAACAGAACGCAAGATTCGGTGTTGTGAGGCCCTATGAGAAGCCCAAGAGGTATACAAATTCCAGTACAGACAGCAATCCTAACATGATGAAAATGTTTCAGATAATCAGAAATAATGAATATTCTGAACCTCAGCAATACCAAAAACGTTCAACAGGAAAACACGAAAATCTGAACAGAGAAAAACGCTTTGGTGAACAAATACATTTTTTGGTCTATAGACGGAAAGCAAGAGTTGCTCCTGAGGGAAAGATAATCTATGCTTTAAAATTTCTACAGTATTTATTTTTATTTCCTGATGACTGATATTTTAAAAGACATACTCTCTGGTAATAGCTAACTGTTGAGGTCACAATTTAAAACCTTTCCTTTTTTGGTCTTCACAGTACTGACATAACATAAAATTCTAATCTCTTATTTTTTTAAAGGAAAAAATTCACCGCTATAAGCATTGGCATAAGTTTTAGATGAATCTTAATCATCCCTGAGTTCCTGTAAATGGAAATGCATCATTTTTTTGGAATCACCACTGAGTCTTTTTGTGATACCTTGAAGAATCAACAGACATGTGGTGATATTTTTAAAATTATGAGCTTTTACTTTGCTTAATGCTTTTACTTTGCTTAATGCTTGCTATTGTAGGACTGTTTCCTGTAACAAAAGACATGTTGGAAGTATCAGTCAAGATACTCACTAATTCCTTGTAGGGCTCCTCCTAGCAATTGGGCATCCGAAATAGGGTTAAAATTTGGAGCAGGAAAAATTGTTCCTTGTATCTGGTAAAGGAAAAAGAAGCCTTTAATTGAGGTGTTTTACATCTTTAATGCTGCATATATAACTGCTGAAAACCAACAATCACAAGATTAAACAGTGTCCACTTCATAGAGAAAAGGATACAAATTTTATATTTATGGAAGAGAAATCAAACTTTCAGTAAGCCTTAGGAAGGCAGAGCATATTTGAGGAAGTTGCCTCTAGTATGAGTTGGACCTGGAAAAAAATAAATTTTTAATACTAATAATATATTTTTCTGATAAAAATGTAACCACAACTTCATGTTTCCCAACCTTTTTCTGAAAATACTCTTCTATCTTGTAAGGTTAATCCCAAGATATCCCTGACAGTCCTCAACAGCTGTTTCTTTTGGAAGTTCAAAGTTCTAAGTTCAAAGGACATAATTTCTTAATATGTTTCATGATTACTTTAGACCTACCAAGCAAACGTAGGGGCAAATAAATTGTTACTGGTTAAGAACTGGGGTACAGACTATCTGGTCAGAAATTTGAGATTTTTAAAAGTTATTTTAAGAAGTACTAATATGGCAGTGTGCCTTTAAATACAAATGGGAAAACACTCACCAAATATACTTCTGCAGCTTGTTGACCATTTTAAAAATAAGGTCCTACTTTTGCAACTTAGCTTAAAATACAATGTGCCCTGTTGCTCATGAAAAATAATCAGGAAAAGAGTGAGAAAAAATTCTCTTGGGAATACAGAGAGAAATACCGGCCACTGAGAAAACAATGGGACAATGCCAAACTTCACAGAGTGATTTATGATGTTGCATCTAAAATGGAGACTTATCTTTTAAGATACCCACTATCCCATCTTCATCTGTTAGTGTGGGAACTCTCTTTGTATCTTGGGCCTCACTTGTCATTTGCGCATATGGTGGGTAGTATCTGAAAATCTTAACCTCAGAAACTAAGTCAGAGTTCATATCCTCATAACATCCTAATTCCTAACAGTACATGTTCTCCAAAAGTCATTAACCAGAAATTTCCTAAGCATGCATCATTTACAGCAGCGTGTAGCTCAAACTCTATTTGGCCAGATGGTACCTGAGGTTCTGTTCACGTTGATTTTTTTTCCCTCCGTGCTAGCATGTTAAATAACGTTGACCTCAGTTCAGTCACCATTCTCCACAGCTCAGAGACAGAAATGCATGAGCTTTGTGGCTGATCAGTAAGGTAGCTGGACAAACCATCCTAAATCTTACTAAGCTTACTAATAAACAAAATCACTATGCAGAGATGTGCTAGGAGACACTATTAGAATGCAGAATCAAAAATGTATATTGAAGTACATTATCAGTATTAGTAGCAGGTTTTTTGGTTTACAAGAAAAAAGGGCAAATGGAATGTAGCTCAGTTGTCTTTAAAATAGTTGTTCAGTCTTGAGAGGAAAAACAAAACGAACCCAAAACTAAAACTGCATCAAATATTGCGTTAGGGCAACTAGAAAATATTTTGATGGGAATGATAATAAAGAATGGTAAGATGCAAACAGAATTTAAGTAACATATAACATTGAAGACTTTGATTCTGCAATTTATACCAGAGGTAAAAAGTATAAACGCATCTGGCATTCAGTTTAAGCACTCTCTGGACCTGTCACAGCCCTTGCTGCTCAGAAGGATGGGAGGGGAAAAATCAGAAAATATTTGTAGATTTGTGTGTTTATTCAAATCTAGTTTAAAACACCAGTGCTCTCGGCCCTTGTGATAGCAGAAAACAAGTTCAAACCCCAGAAAGATTAGTTAACTTAAAGCATATCCTTTCACAGACTTGATTTTGTAATGTCACAAAAGGGATCACTAAGTCACTGACCTTTCGGCATTTATGGTACTTGCTCTGGAATCACAACTAACTGACTTAATGAATACTTTAGCAGCAAAATCCTGTATAGTCCTTACATCCATAACTATAAATGTATTTTTCCAAACAGGTATCACCTCTTAATCAGAATGGAGGCAGGCATTAATGATTTGGGGATAGAAATCTTTATTCATGGAACAGTCAAAATAAAAAAGGCCTTGCAAGAATAAATATTTGTTAGAATATGGTGGGAGGATTGATCATAGCAAAAACTAGTTTGAAACACACATATTTAGGCAAATTATACATAATTTGACCAAAAAACTCAGCACAGTCCTTTTAATTTATTTTTCAGGCAAAATAATGGATATTTGTCTGTGCTCAAATCCCTCTTGATTCAGAAGAATTGCTTTTAGAAAGCATTCACCACCTCACTGGTTCAGGCTCACAGTCAGCAGATTAAATCCAAATTGGTAAATACCGATCTGCTAGCCAGGATCTAATTAAAGATGCCGTTAAGCTGAATCGAATTAAATATGAAGCTTCAGGTAAACCTTGTAGAAGAGACAGTAAAATACAAGATTTTTATACAAATCTTTTGGGGGGAACCCCTCATCTTTTTGTTTAATAGTGTCTTACAGTATGTACGTTTTACTTGACATAGTCTTTTTTTCCTATGCAGACATTTGTGTCAGAGTACGGATTTTTTTTTTTTTTGTTTCCGGTACGGATTTTCAGTGTAGCTTACATTGGGGTTTTCTGACTGGTCTCTTGGCAGATTCAACACTCGAGCAGTATAAAGCAGTTCTCTCATCGGCGCGCTCGGTTTTACAGCGTGTGCTAGCAGCATCCTCAGGAGTTCCTGCGTTACTAATGATGCCTCGCTGCTGGCACAGTGCAGTGCTAATGTTACTATGGCCTGTACCTTTAAGAAAGTACTCTGCTGCTTTACGGTGACTCCCCATCTTACAATTAGAAAGTTCTGCTCCGCCACAACCTGTGTCAGGTTTATCCTATGACCATTTCTGTAATTTCAGTCTGTGACAAGCCCACAGAAGCATTCTGGCTCACTTGATGCATTTAATTTCAAAATCTCCAAGGGCTTATTACTGATTAACCTTTATTAACCATTTGTTTTCACTGAATTTTTGAAATATGTACACAAACAGGTCGGAGTCAAACCTTTAGAGCTGAACTTTGGTAATTCTGGGTCTGAGTTCAGTATGATTATTTATGCATACTGACAGCTTACTGCTTGCTGTATGTTCTAGCCGTATGTTTCCTATCCAGTATCAAAGAACTCCAGAGAGCCAAGTGATACGTACTGTTGAAGGCAAAGCGAAGGAAATTTTTTGGTAGACGGTAAGTAGAGACAGGGATCGATTCTCAGATGCTGCAGTGTCGCCTCTCCGAGGTAAATCCTGCATGAACAAGCTATGCACTTATCACAGAGCATCAAGCCTTAACGCCATGGTGGCAGGCAGCAGTACTGTCCCGTGCTGACAAGATACTGCACAGCAGATGAGGAGGCAAAAACTGGCTTAAAAAGCAATGTGCAAATCCAGGAGGTGGCTTTTCTAAGCAAGAAACTGTTCTAATGCTCTCTTCCATAATTTTATGGGGAGAGGGAAAGCATGAAAGAGATGGTATAGTTTTAAGTTGCTGATCAAGATTGTACACTTGCAGAAATGTCCTGTACTGAGAGAGAAGACAGGAGGTTGTGGTAGGCATTTTATTTTGCAAGGGTCTGTTGCAATCTTCAGCATTGTAGGAGTGCCTGCGGATACAACTGTTCATTTGCTCAGCTGATGCGTTCAAGAAAATGAGAAAATAGGTCAAAGCAATAGTTAGCCCGCAATAGCTGGGGCTCTGCTTCCAGAATCTAGATCCCAGGGTACAAAATGCTACTTCCAAAAAACACTGCTATACAGAGTTTGCTTGTCTAAGTGTGCCTAGGAGATGCATAGCTAGCAACAGTGTCAGTCTGCACAGAGGGGCCAGAACCGTAGGCATTTAGTTGCACATACTGCTATTTCACTTTGTTCATTTTCAATGAAGATAGCCCAGTCAATGTTGAGTCCATGGTCAATTCTGTTTTGTTGGCACGACATCTTTTTTTCCTCTAAGTTCTGAAAAGCAGAGGGAAATGAATAATATGATCTCCTGACTTTTCTTCTATATACCTTAAGATGGTCACTATACAGGGACATTAAGTCATTCCCCCATTGAAATTTTCTTTCTGAATGTTTATTTTAAAAAATACATTTGATTTTTCCAAATATCCACCAGAGTATCCATGATCATGATCACTCAAGTGAAATTTATCTGAAAGAAAAAAATCTCCCTATGTAGAGGAGAAATAAACCTTTAAACAGCCTCCAGTGAATGAAATATCCAACAGGGTTCTGAATAATTCAAGGAACAACTCCCCATCGATCACGATGAATTATTAGAATAGGCGTAACTCTGGTACCATCATCAAGTTCCAACAGCTTTGAGACAGAAATCACATTACAGTAACTCCTGAAGATTAGTCTAAAATATTTTTCAGGACCAAAGAGCACATCATAAATCACAATGAATAAAAACCTGCAGAATCACTACAGCTTCCTCTGCAAAACAGAAAACATGAGGTGGTAACTGCTGAGACAGAGCATCAAGAATTACTGTGGATCATCAGCTAAAAAAAGCAAGAGGGAAAAACAGCCTGTCCTTTTATTACGAGCCGCCCTAGATAGGAACAAGGTAAAGAATTACTGATGTGCCCAACCAGGGTGGTGGTAACCCTCAACAAAAATCAGCACAGTGCAAGTTACCTTGAGCATTAGCCTGCTATAGAATAGATACAAAAAAATTCACAAGGAGAACAGGATCAACCAAATAATGGATTAAGACCAAAAAAAAAAAAAAGCTAGAACTCCACTGATAATCTTTCCCTTTCTTAAGAACCGAACTCTTGAAATTGTTACTATTTAATCATAATTCAGCACTTGCAGGTTATAATTTATAATACTAAAAATTAAATTCCAGCCTTTGATCTACAGACTGAATACATTTCTTTTGCTCTGTAGGAAAAGACACTACTAAGCTAAACTTTTCTGGTAATTACTTTTAACATGAATTCAGCTGAAATTGGCTTTATGAGAAAAATTTTAGAAAGAGAATATCTGCTACAATACCTCAATAATTGTGTATGTCCTTAGTCCATGAAGCTATTTTAAGACCCTCATCACGTTACATTAAAGAATGAAAGACTTCTTCCTGCTCTCAAAGGACGGCAGGCCTGGACCATAGTGCTTCCTCCGACCCTGGCTTTAACAAATGTGAAAGTTTTCCTCTGTAGGAAAGTTCCATTCTAAGTCGTTATTTATCAGCAGCCACTGTATACTTATTCGTATAGTTTAAGGTAGTATTACCTCTCCAGACTAAAAACTGAGTATGCTCTGTGTCTGCTTTTTTCAAATAAAAGTGATTCGGAGGTTCACTGGAGCACAAAATAACTAACTTACATAGGTAGTGAAAGAGAAAATTGTTAAAATCAGAAAGATAGCTAAACATGGGAACAAAAAAGATTTAAGACTCAAGCCCACACCAACATTATGTTGCTACTTGCCATGTGCAAAAATTGCATTTCATGGCAAAGCTAAAACTGCAACAGTGAAAGCTGTGTTGTGGTTGTCTTGGTGATGTCAGAGGAAAATTCGGAGGTACTTGCACTAAATTTGTTTTCTCTAAATTAAATGGTTCTCTAACCTACCCCCAGAAGTAAAACACAACTATGATTCTGAAAGTTAAGAAGAACAGGGACATTTCTGGATCACTTAACATTTTTAGCACTAGGACTTTATCCAAATCTCATGGCTATTGTTAGTGGAGCTCCTTCTGTTGACTTCAGGGAGCTTTGGATCCTGGCCTTAGTGCGCAAAACTGCCAGGCACAGACTGTTTGACACCTTGCTGAGGAAAGTGAGGATAGCTTATGGATAAACTGAAGCAAATTCAGCGAAGTCACCAAGATACTCAGAGGCTGGGGCAGTTGTCCTGTGAGGTGAAGGTAAGGGACTCAGCCCAGCTTCAAGGGGGGGACCCAACAGCAGTCACCCAGTTCCTATGGGGAAGACATCGAGAACATGGATCCAGGCTCTCTACTGAGGTGCACGGCAGGAGAAATAGAGGCAGTCTGCATAAACTAAAACAGGGGAGAAACTTCTTTCTTTTTTCTTTTTCTTTTTTTTTTTTTAAATATGAGGGTAAATGACCAGTGGAACGAGTTGCCTGAAGAGGCGTGGGATCTCTGTCCTTGGTTTTCAGGGCCAGACTGCACAAACCTCTGACTGACTTGGTCTGAAATCAGTGTTGACCCTGATCTGATTAGGAGGCTGGGCTAGATGACCCCCTAGTATCCCTTCCAATCAGAACGATTCCATGACAAGTTTTCTCCAAAGCCAAAAATTAACAGAAACTATTCCAAGAGTATTTTAAAAATAAGTAAGCAAATTAAGCACCCACTGGCTCAGTGACGTGGGACAGAGTAATAAAGAAACCTGTATAACACTCTGGGGGTCAGTCCTGTGAGGTGCACACCAATTCCAGTTATATACTTTGACAACAGCGCTACACCTTTTGCAGGATCAGGCACAGACCTGACACTTCTATCACAGATCATCTGTTTTCTGCTGTACATATTGTGATTATTTGGGTTGTTACGGTGGTAAAGAATTGCGCGCGTTATCAAAATATGACGACTGAATTTCAGGAGTAATTCATTTATGCATTTTCATTTTCTGAAAGGCAGATCAGCAAAGGTATAAGGAGCGTGGAGTCTGAGAGATTAGACTCTTAGCAGTGACAGACTGTGATACTTGCCCAGAAGTGAAAGTTATTGCCTGTGGACATTAAGTGTGCCTAATTACAATTTACGGATGGGAGCTACAGCAAGGTGGTTTATCTTCACCAATCATAAATCAATCACACAAAAAATATTCCTCCTCTAAATAGCTTGTATTTATAATAATCGAGGGAAGATCCTATAACTAAGGTGTTTATTATTTCTCCAATATCTGAATGCAACTACACCTTCCCAAAGGGACATTAACATATATTGAAACTGAATGCAGGACTGAACTTGCAAGCACCTGGAACCAGATCAATGTCAGTGTAGACAGCTCATTATTCAGCTCTTTCATGGTTAAATATAGTCCTTCTGAAAAAAAAAAAAAAAACCAGCCACCAAAAAACAACCAAACCTTGCTTTAAGGAAGTAGTGATCTATAAAGCATATGGAAGAAATATGGGCAAGATCCTCAGTCGGTGTAACAGTGCATAATTCTGCCAAAGTTGGTAAAACTTTGTTTTGCACAAGTTGATGATATAACTTTGGTCAGGTCCTAACTCTTCTTTCACCCAGATATGCTTCAGGTATCCTCATTACTAATACACTGCATGTTCCCACCGTCGTCATAATGAACCATGTCACAGCTCAGCCATTTTTCTGTGGATATGGCCCATATTTTTCTGTGCACATATTCAGACACGTGCGTTACACACAGCAGTAAGGACACTTTAATTTACTGAGCTGTACCTTCAAGTTGTCTGCGTTCAAAAATATTCACTGTCACAGGTGCACACAAAGGTCTCATTTATTGGTTTAGGCTGAACAAAGTCACATTTGGTTATTCAGTCTGGATGCAAGAACACAAATGTTGTGGATATTAGTTTGGTGCCTGTTTTGCAATATGTTTTTGTAACTTAACAAGCTGTTCTGAAAGCACTGAAACTAGTAACAACTGTTTTCTTACAGATTCTTTTGACTCTATATGCCTACTAAATTCCTCCTACCAAAACATCAGTTAATTTTCTCTCCTTGATTCTCCACCTACATTCACAATCTGTCAGGTGCTTACCAAGTCTACCACTGGATAGGTAAAAGATGGCTTGCCCTGTGGTTTAGTCCATACTATGCAGGT